CTATATATTACACAATGACAATACCATTTGTTTGAATTAATGAAACATTTATAATGTTTTAATATAACTTACAATACCATAATATTACATTACAGCCAACATATTAAATTATATTGAATTAAATGCCATAATATACAATCTGATCAAGGTTAGCCTTTGTAATTCAAACAACTTTTTCACAGTTAGACAGTTTTTGAGGGAAACTATGAATTAATTAAATGAAACTCATTACTTTTATAAATATACAATACATAATAACTTGAGTGTCAGTGAAAAGTTAAAATAACTTTCTAATTATTATTATATTAATTTTTCCTTAAAAGTCATATGACTTTCAATATAAACCACAATTTAAAAAACTACATTTATTCAGTGTTATATAAAATTGTATTATTTTAATATTGTTCATGCAACTATTGCAATAAAACTTTGTTTTGCGCGTACACTATTAGTACATTAAAAGTGCATTATTATTGAATATAAATAAACTAATGGTCAATAATATTGATTTTTTTATTTATATGGTTATTTAGTCAATTATATTTATTATATTAAACTAAAATATAATATGTACACATGTCACAAATCCATTTATAATCTATTTATTATTCATGTAAATATATTTATGTTAATTGTATTTATTATACAGGTATATATTTTTTAACTGTAATAATAATAATAATAAAAATACATAATATAACCTATTTAAATAATATTTAATCATTACATTTTATGTTAAAAGTACAGTACAAAATATTTATATAATTTTAATATTGCCAAGGTTAATTTCACGGATTATCCGACCTTCTACTACAACCTAACATTTTCTGTAAACTATCAAAAAGTTCCGGTTTTTCTTGCGCCCACTTATAAACGCCCAAAATTATGACACCTGTGCTCACTAGGGCTGCCCCTAACGCGGCCGTCCCATTGAACTTGCCGTTGAGCACCAGTACGTCCCACACAAATGCCAACACAATAGTCAGCGTACGGGCTATGGATGCCGGGCCGGCCGACTCGTACCTTAGGGCTACGGTCATGAAAAACTGGTCGCCCACCCCTGTAATACCTATGGTTAGTAGTAGGCTCCAGGCCCTCCAGCCCACTGGCCACTTAAATGCGTCCCAGGCTACCAGGGTGATCAGAGTGGCAATGATTATGGCCACTGAATACCAGACTACCACTACGGCTACCGGTGTTTGTTTGAGTTTACGTAGGGTTATGATAGCCATGGCGTTACCAAAGGCGCCCATAATAGCCGATAGTAGGCCCTCGATATGCCCGTCCGGTATGAGGTGACCGCTGAATAGCATTTTAGGTCGAGCTATGATGACTACTCCCGATAGGGTGATTGTGCCGGTCAGCACCTGTAGTTTGAATGTAATTTGATTTTAGTATTTATTTAATAGACTGCACTCTATTAATAATACATAATATTGTTGGTAGAAGTAAGTATAATATATTTTATGTATGGACAGTGAATTAAATAATAAAATTAAGTATTTTTAATTACTTAATTAATAACAACAATGGTTTATATTTAGTGGTCATCGCTGAGATGATAATTTATATTTTTAAATGTAGCAATTTAGATTATTGTATTTAATGATGTAATTAATTAAAATGGTATAGTAATAATATCGAAATTTATTATATAAACTCGTTTTTATATTTTAGACTGTAATTAATCTAACTTGTACTATTTAATAAATTTTAATTAACTTACTAACTAGTCAGTTTGGCATACAAAAGCTCTCATAAAGATTTTAAAATTTAATTTATTTTAGTATACTGTAACCAACTTGTAATATAATTTATAACATATAATTGTATTCAAATGTACCTGGAGTATAGTGAGCGGCTCCTTGAGTATAAAGTAGGCAAATAGTGTGACAAATACTGGCGATGAGAACTGTATGGTCGTGGCGTCGGACAGGGGTATCAACGCAAAGGCCATGAATGAGCCCATGGATGACACGGTGCCGTAAAACCCGCGCATAAATAGGCTGACCCGATGACCCTCCACACCCCATAAACTTTGACCCTTGACCAGGGCGTATACCAAGTTGAATAGGAATTGAACCACGCACCTTTTAAATAGAAATTTATTTTAATTTTATGGTAACATGCTAATAATTAGTAATTAAATAGTTTGAAAATATTATTATATTGAGTAACATTAACATTGTAAACTGTATGAACATAATGAATGTACTGTTAATATATTTTTATATTAATATAGAGTTTAAATTTTGGACAAATTCGTAACCCATTCTATATAAAAATTTAAAGTACTTGCACCTTTTAAAAATATAATTTTATTTTAGTTTTGCTTTACCATACAATATTAATAATATTTTAAAAATTATTTTAAATACTTTATAAGCATGTAGAATTAATAAGTTTAAGAATGTTAATATATTTTATCCTATTTTTTTGTAAGTAAAATATGATAAACAAGCTTAAAACTTTAAAAAAAACTATACAAGTAAGAATTGGACTATATTAACTGTAATTAAATACCTGTAAATAACCTTTGCATTACAAACTGTAAGAAAATAATTATAATATTTAATGGGATTATAATAGTATTTAACAAAAATGTTATATTGGTATACCTATGTACTCCTATATTTCTATATAGTGTATATTTAAATAATTTTTAAATATCAATGTATTTTTAAAAATTATTAAAATTATTTTGTTATAAATACCTAAAGAATAGGACTTCCAATGAATGCAATTCCGGCAACAATTTAATGATAAGACTGCCCAACGAGTAGGAGGTGGCGCTCAATGCCATTAATATGATGCCAAACGCCGGTATAATCTCCGGTAATGACCGCTTCCTAACAACCCCCGGCCCTCCCCGGCCACCATCATTCCCCGCAATTTCAATACTTTTATCACCATGGTTAGACAATTTTACTTTTACTACCAGCTCCCCGCCACTGGGCACGTCTATCACCACCACATGTTTATCCAGACATTTATCATTCATGTGAATATCATTTACATGAATATCATTGAACTTATCGTTTATTTTCATAATTAATTCAAAGCGTTAATACTTATTATGAAATAATTAATTTGAAAGGAAATATATTGTATTAAAAATGCACTAAAACTTTACGGACTTTATTACATAGTATGTTAAACTTGTTTTTTATAAATGTATAGATTTACTATAATTTTTACACCAAAAAAGTAACTAATAATTAGTACTTTTGTTTCCCATACGTCTCGATAGACTGTTTCACTTATCAATGAATTAATAAAAATTTTGATTTAAAACTTTATTTCACTGAATAATGTAAACATTTTTATCATTGGTACAAATTTTTTTTCTATTTTTACATAGTCTTAATTTTATCAGTTCAATATTCAATGAGAGTGTGCTATAAGATAAATCTACAAATGAGCAAGCTCACAAAATACAATATAAAATTTTTATATACTAGATAACTTTATAATTAGTTATTCCATATACAGCAATACTTGCTTATTAACTTTGTTAAATTATAGACTAGATAAAATAATATTTAACAATATTGTAATTGTCATTTATGTAGCATGTTAATTTATGGTCATAATTTGGTGTCATTACACTACTGATACCATATCCAACCGGTTCAACATCTAGTCTTAATTATCAGTTAATTAAATGTTTATTGAAAACGATAATGCACAATTTTTTATGCCAATAATAGATTATAGTATTTATATTAATATATTAGATAAACCTACAAGTCCAATAATATTACCAAGAATGTTTCGCAAAATATTTCCAGGAATATTCATAGAAATAATTTTTGCAAAAATATTTATAATAAAATTTATGCTGAATTTTGATTTGTAATTTCATGTTTATTAAATATGTTTATAAATTTTATAAATATTATAGTAATGTTTATTAATTTTGTTAAGTGTGAGTTAGGTCATTGTAATCATGTTTTTGATAACAACCGCTTTAGACTTGTTTTATAATAATGTTTTATCTACATTGTGTAAATAATAGTAACTAAAATGATACCATATTTGTAGATTTGACATTGATTAAATCCTATTCATAACATTTTAGTAAGATTTTCATATACATTAATATAATTTACTTTAACTATGAAACTATTTTTATTTTATTCATCCTAGTTATTGTAAAGTTATTGCCATGGTGATCTATCAAATTTACAAATATTAGTGTGTATTTAGTAGTAACAGGTTTTGGACACTGTTGTATAATATTAAACACAAAATAATTACTTTAAATATATATTAAAAATATAACTGCTAGCGACAAAATATACAAATGTTAACTGTTTTTTCATTACTAATGAAAAATAATTTTAATTAGATTTAAGTAAATTTTTTAAGTAATATTTTATGCATAATCAATTTAACATGAACCGAGTCATTGTGTCACAGTCAGTATGTTTAAAATTTAAAAATGTTATAAATTAGAAATAGTTATAAAATAACTAATATTGGAGTTTCTTAACTAAATTAATAGGCTAGTTTGAATTATCATTTTTAAAAAATATAAATCATTTTATAACAGAACTGTAATTTATAATTAATTGAAATCTATATTTATAATAAAATTTAAAATTTAACCAAATGGATATGCACAATTTCATGTTTTTATTTTTGGTAATGCAACATAAAATTCTAATTTAATATTTTTAATACTGTAATACAACCTACAGTACATTGATTATTTACAACACAAAATTTTTAAATAATAACAATTGACAAATAAAATATGTAATACTGCTATACCTGTATTTATAGCATGTAACCTTAAGTGAAATATTCAAACTAGTAATAGTTATTGTTTGTTAATGAAATAAAAATTAAATTAGTATAAATAATTAAAATATCATAACTTTACAGGTATGAACAAATCTCATGAGAACGAAATGAATATTCTGTAAATTCTTTATCCTTAATCAGAAACAGTCTTAAAGTATATTAAATTAAAGCTAAGAATATAATAAACATTTGAGTGAAAACACAATTTGATTATCTTTTAAAATTGCCAAGATAATTAGTCCCGAAGTTGATGGGGTGGTTTTAACTTTTTTAACCCATTGAAACCCATATATTAAGATAAAAAGATCTGAGGAAGAATATTATGGTCTAGGAAAAGATTATGTCCACCATTCATTTACTATTTGATAGAAATGTAAAGTAAAGTTTAAAATTGGAAAAAATTGGAATAAAATGGCCGAAATATGAACTTGACCTACGATTGCAAAATCACGTCAAAATTCGGTTAAAATGTCAAAAATTTTATAAACTTTGTTCCGGTGGTTAAGACAATTTTTCGGTCAAATATCTCCGATTTTTAGAAATATTTTAAAATTCTTATATATTTTAGAATTTATATTGTCTTTGACCATCATATTCTTCTTCAGCTTATTTTTTATCTTATTATATGGTCATCAAAGCCTTAAAAAAATTAAAACCACACCATCAACTTCGGGACTAATTATCTTGGCCAATTTAAAAGATAATCAAATTGTGTTTTCACTCAAATGTTTATTATATTCTTAGCTTTAATTTAATATATTTTAGGACTGTTTCTGATTAAGGATAAAGAATTTACAGAATATTCATTTCGTTCTCATGAGATTTGTTCATACCTGTA